AAAAGTGGAGATCAAAACATGGCATAGATAAAGAGAGTTACCGTGTTTTGTTGTAATGCATCAGCTAAATATTGCGCTCCAATCTGTCCGATTTCATTACTGTAGAGATATAGTTCAGTGAGGGTCTAGACGTAAAAGTGGGGATAAAGACATGGCATAGGTAAAGAGAGAATGAGAGTTACTGCGTTGTGTTGTAATGCATCAACCAAATATTGTACTTCAATTTCTTCGATTTCATTCCAGCAGAGAACTAGTGCATTGAGTGTCTAGATGAAAAACTGCAGGTAAGGACACGATGCAGATGAAGAGAGTGAATTGTTGGTCGTTGGTATCTGGAGTCAGAGTAGCGAAATAAATGTTATTCTGACGACGATCAACGACTTATGAATATCAATGTGAGTATTTGTATGATTTTATATACTGCCTAGTGTGCGAGAATATGTTTTGAAAATCTACACTGAAAAGGAATTATTAAGAATTTGGGATGTATAGAAAGTTTTTTATGTGAGTTTTCTGTAGGGTTTAAATACTGGTAAGAGAAGAAAGAGTTTCTATTTAATAAATAATAGTTTGTAAATTAATTCTGAGTTAATCAATTGTGAAGGTTTTGTACTATGCGTTTCCTATTAGCATAATATAAATATGAATTTTTGGGGAGAGATTGATAAAAGATGAATTAGTTTGGATGAAAAATAGTTCATTGGTGTATATTCTGTTGAAGCTATTCTACTTAAATATAGATTGTAGGAATGAAAAATAATTCGCGAGCCAATAGATACAAATGAGACTATTATAATAGAAAAACATTTACCTGGTATCGATAATAACTGTCTAGAATCCTATTAAACCGTTCGCATACATTTCTCATTGAGCATATAATTGTGAGATCTGTTTGATGATCCAGAATTCGGTAGACAAGTTCTACGGGCAAGGTAAGGAAGCTGGAAACAGTTTGATTTGCCATTGTAGTGCTGATGAAATGCGTGCTGTATTACTTTCTATGTTCATAGTATAATGTATTTTTGTTTTTTTCCTTCTACTCACTAAATACATACTCGTCGCGCATCATATATTTTGTATGATAGTGCAATTACTTGTTGGAAGAAAAAAAGGAAAGATAATGATGTCACTTTCAACGACAGAAACGTGATATGAAGTATAATTAAACTTTTTATTATGATTATTTTAGAAATATAAAATTTCAAAACTTTCTGCTATGATGTTTCGTTAGGAGACGAGTAATTCGAGGAAATATTGTTTTTCTTATAGAGTATAATTAATAGGCTGAGTAGTCAAAAAACAAAGTACAAGTTACAAGATTTCAGTTATTTGGAAGACTGATGGATTAATCAAACATACACCCGATTATTGATCAACGGATTAAACACCTGTTGCACTAACACACATGATACTAAGTAGGAGCAGAAACGTAAGCTCATTATGTTGTTTATTTTTCGTATTATTTTTTGATACTGTTTGACTGTTTATAAAATTTATATTATAGTTTTTAGTAATCATACCAACTACTTTGATCTGTTAATAAAGAATTAAGTCATTATAAATATACTACTTCTTGAAATAGAATTTACATATAATTACTGTTTGATCTAACTAAAATTATAATCAAGCGTTATTATTACAATAATTTTTCATGGTTTGAAGATTGTTACTATTGCTTTTTGCTCATATAGTTCTACATCAAATATCAGTGCTTAACTATATCTTTTTTCGTTTTTTCCAGTAATATTAATTTGTAGTTTTCATATGCATCAGTACACTACATCATATACAATTCATATGAACATCCAACCATATATTCTATATATATTCTGACAATTCTAATAAAATCATTTAGCATTACGCGTCATCTAGGTGATGCATATCATGTGGCGCACTCTTTCCATCAGGATAAATACCAATACTTAGTTGTTTACTTCCTGTTCTTTCTCGGATCCGAACAAAAACATATACAAGAGTATCTCGTGTACGAAGAAAAATATAAATCTTTTTGTTTAGTTTTTTCTTGTACTTTTTTTTTAAAATATTTGAATGAACTATGAGTTACAATTTTAATCCAAATCAAGCTGCACAAGGTGCAACTTATGCTGCACAAGGCGCAAACTATGCTGGACGAGCAATGAATGCATTTCAAACAGCAGTCAATATCGATGATCAACAACCACAGGCTGAAGGAACAACATTTTGGTTTCGATGGTTTATTCGAGCTACTGCTATTGTCACTGGAATTCGTAAATTTTTAAAAAGAAAAAAAAATTATTTCATTGTTCTATATTTTTATAGTTGCAATGCTTTGTGGAGTCTTTGGTGCACTTAGTATATCGCC